CGTCCACAATGGAGAACATAATCGACAACATGGAAGGAGAAATGCAAAGAATATCGGCTGACGTCAAAGAAATCAAAGAAAGCTTTGCATCCTTGCTTGAATGACTAGCACAAGCACCACCCGCGCCGAATCAGGAAGAACGCAGTGACACCAGTCATCAAAGCGGAACAAGAACAGCAAGAATCGAGTTTCCCATCTTCGCAGGGGGAGATCCCACATCCTGGCTTCTACGAACAGAAAGAAACTTCGATTACCACGACACACAGGGACCTGATCGTGTTCCATTAGCTTCTGCACACCTAGAAGGAGAGGCGATCGTCTGGTACTAGTGGTACCAGCGATGGCACCCAAGAGCCACATGGACAGACTTCACCGATGCCTTAACCATGCGATTTGGAGTCTCGGCTTTTGAGAACTATGATGAAAGCCTCGCTAAGCTATGACAGACCGGCTCCGTCCAAGATTATCAGATGGCGTTCGAAAGATTAGTTGTGCGCGTGCAAGGCTGGCCAGAAAACGCGCTTGTCGACAGTTTTGTTGGTGGACTCAGGGAAGAATTGCAGCTGGAGGTAAAAGCCATGCAGCCCACCACCGTTCTTGAAGCAGCAGCATTAGCTCAACTACATGAAGACAAACTGAATCGGGCAAGAAAGATTAATCGACCTCTAGGAGCTGCGATCAGACCAGGTATACCGAACCCAGAACCAGGTATCTTGGGTAAACCGGAGCCCAGATCAGGAGTAGGAATCATAGGCAAGGACGCCAACTCTGGTTCTGGCCCCGACTTAGCCAAGAGGTTAACCTGGGCTGAGATGCAAGCCCGACGAGAAAAGGGCCTTTGTTATGCATGTGGAGACAAATTCCGGCCGGGCCATCGCTGTAAGATCCCTCAAGTTTTCTTCCTTCAACCTGAAATCGAATATGTTGAGCAATCAATAGACATTGAAGAGTCAATGGACAACCAAGAATGGGGGCAATGGACAAAGGAATACCCGGAAGTATCCCTACAAGCCTTGACCGGTCTTGCGTCTTCTCAAACTATGAGAGTAACCGAACTGGTACAAGGGCGCCATGTTGTCACGGGGGTAGTTCTACAGCGGAAGAAACCCGTGCGGCATCCAGACCTAGGTAGGCCAGGACAAGCCTTTATGCGCTTAGAGGCTAGGAGTTGCCCGATGGGATGGTTCCACCAAAGTCAGTAGCACTGGATCATGACCTCAAGTCCAATGGCCGGGGCACTCTCTTGGCTCAGACCGGTCCATGGGAGGCGCCGCTTACATGCTAAAGAGGGACAACCATAATGCAAGGCGACCATGCGCCGATGAGGTGACTTGGCACCGATGTGAAGGGTCTCCTGTATGCCG